ACCGTGTTTGCCGCGTACTAGTCTCTTTTGGCTTAGCTTCAGATGTTGATGATTGAGGATCATTTTCAAAGTGCTTTGATGACTCCTGCGTACATATGGTGTTTTTAGAACCTGTCGATTGTTTTTCACAAGGTTGTTCGATATACGCTGGCTTGAGTCGGTCTACCGAAACTACATCGACTTTACCATTCCTGTTGATCATATGATGTTTTTCTGTTCTAGCGATCACCTCAAATGGCCCTTCGTACGGTGGTTGTAGAGGCCTGCGGACTGCATCGTTTCGTAGCCACACATGTGAACAAGTTGTCAGATCTTTTGGTATATAACACTTGTTAGTTTGTGCTCGTGTAGCAGTAAAATGCAGTTCACGCATGGATGAACGTAAGCGATGAACAAAGTTTGAGGGATCTAGAGCGTTGAAGTCGATGGGTTGAAGGAGGTCAGCCGGGAGCTTTAGCGTGGTACCGTATACCAGCTCCGCGGCAGAGCAACCTAAATCAGCTTTAAACGTCGTTCGTAGACCTAATAGAACCAGCGGTAAGTTTTCTGTCCAACGGGTAGTGTCAGAACATGCCATCAAAGATGTTTTGAGGTGGCGGTGAAAACGTTCGACTAACCCGTTCGCTGTTGGATGGTACGCAGTTGTTCTTATTCGCTTAGCTCCGAGGATATTAGCGAGATCTCGAAAGAGGGTTGATTTAAATTGCGCACCGCGATCCGTTTTTATGGTGGATGGGACACCATAATGTGCGATCCAATGAGCCACAAAGTTACGTGCTACCGTCTCTGCGGAAATGTCCGCGATAGGTACTGCCACGGGCCAACGAGTGTAACGATCGATGCAAGTAAGTAGGTACTTAAATCCACTCGACGGCGGCAGCGGACCGACGGTGTCGATGTGCACGTGACTAAAACGAGCATCGGGAACGGTGAACTCGCCAAGAGGTGCCTGTGTATGGCGGTGCACTTTTGAACGCCGACATGGGAGACAATTCCTCACCATGTTCTGCACGTCTTTGTTCAGTGCCGGCCACACGAAACGATCGGAGATGAGTTTGCGCGTTGCACGGATGCCTGGATGTGATAGACCATGTAATGAATCAAAAATGATTTGCCGATAGGTCGGTGGAACTACAGGTCGTGGCTTTCCTGTAGAAACGTCACACATCAGAACATCCGAACTATCAGGCAGCTGAATGGGTTTCACGTGTAGATTAGTTTCTCGAAGTTGTTGAAGAAACTGCTTATCCTGATGCTGTGTTGTGGCTAGTTCTTGAAGATCAATGGGGGAATGCTCAAGGAGGGTATTGATTTCCGCCCGTGATAGGGCATCTGCTACGGTGTTGTTCACACCGGACAAATGCCGAATATCGGAGGTAAATTGGGAGATATAATCTAGTTGTCTAGTTTCTCGTGGGAAAAGTCGATCAGAAGCAGAACGCAGTACATACGTTAACGGCTTGTGATCGGTGAATATGGTGAATGTACGCCCCTCCAAGTAATGTCGGAAATGACGCACATTGAGATAAATAGCTAGGAGTTCTCTGCTGAACGTACTATAACGTCGTTCGGCAGGCTGCAGTTTCTTAGAGAAAAAGGCAACTGGATACAATTCACCTCCCTGTCGCTGTTGGAGCACACCACCTACTGCTGCATCTGAAGCGTCTACCGTTAACTGTAACGGAGCCTTCGGATCAAGATGCACGAGGAGAGTGGCAGTTGCTATCTGATGTTTTAGATCACTGAATGCCCGCTTATCTGATTCCGTGAAGCTGAAGGATTTAGCATCTAATTTGAGTAGCTCGGTAAGTGGCTGGGCTAACTCAGAACAGTGTGGGATGAAACGTCTGTAGAAGTTAACCATGCCTACAAACCGACGTAACTTTTCGATGGAATCGGGGATAGGGTATTCTGTGATGGTTGTCACTCTGTCGGGTAGGAGTGTAATTCCGGCGGAGGAAACACGGTGACCAAGAAAGTCTACCGTATCAACACCAAACTGACTCTTGGAGGCATTGATAACCACCCCATAATGCGCAAATCGCTCGAACAGTTGTCGCAGATGACGCAAGTGTTCGTCATGGTTATAACTTGCAACCAAGACATCGTCAATGTAGACGAAAACAAAATCGAGCTCACGAATAACCTGATCCATAAAACGCTGAAATGTTTGAGCTGCATTGCGGAGACCAAATGGCATTCGCAAGAACTCAAATAAGCCAAAAGGTGTAGTAACGGCAGTCTTATGAACATCTTGAGGATGGACAGGAATTTGGTAATATGCTCGTGCTAAATCTATCTTACTGAACACGTGTTTTCCGTATAGCGAGGAAGAGAAATCCTGGAGATGCGGAATGGGATACCTATCTGGGACGGTGTTAGCGTTTAGTCCCCGATAATCCCCACAAGGTCTCCAATCCCCAGGCTGGTTTTTCGGGACCATATGTAGGGGCGATGCCCATGTACTGCTGGATGGACGTATTATGCCCAACCGTAGCATATGGTCGAATTCAGCCTTCGCTACGGAAAGTTTATCGGGCGCTAAACGCCGCGGACGATGGTAGACTGGACTACCTGTTGTCGTTATCCTATGGACGACCTCATGTTTGACATCACCGGGTTGGTATCCAGGCTTTGTTAAGCTGTTAAACTCTCGTAACAAATCCAAGTACTTTGGAGTGGCTCGTGGTGGGGCAAGCTGCGGACTCATAGACATAATGGAACCTTTAAAACCAGCCCGAGATATTTGCGTTAGGCCATCAATGATTTGGCAGCGCTTGGGATCGACAATAATGCCATGATGCTGGAAAAAATCGAGGCCTAGAATGGCAGTGGGCACTTTGGCTACAATGAAAATCCAAGGAAAAGGCCTACGGAGACCAAGGTTCAGCGTGATAGACCGTTCTCCATAGGTTCGGATGGGCGTGCCATTTACTGCCTGCAGGCTGTATACAGAGCAGTGCCTTAAGTCCTCCGGACGTGGAGGAACCACACTGACTTGGGCACCAGTGTCTACGAGGAATCGCATGCCAGATCTTACGTCTCGCAGGTAAAAGAGGCGACCTGGCTAGCATATGCCAGCTTGCGTCGTCGCCATTACGAGCTGGCGTGTTCGTTTCCCGAAATGGAAAATCGACACGGCTTTATGCATTTCCGAGCTTGGTTACGGAACCTACGGTGATACCAACAAATGCCACGTGAACGATTAGCGCTGCGAATACGCCGCTGGCCTGACCGCGAATTACGGTTTCGGTGGGTGATGGAGATGGAGGCCAGTTGCTGCTGCAGGGACTGCACAGCTTTTACAAGCGAGTCGTCAGTTATAGGAGGCGAAGAAATTGAGATCGTGGGTGATTGTATTTCCATTATTTTATCAGCCATAAGGGCTAGGTCTTTCAAGTCGGTATCCTGATGAGCGTTAGCCAGTACTTGTTGTACGTGAGTAGGGAGCCGTTGCAAAAATAACTGCCTAAAGATGGAATTCTCTGGAGGGCTGTCACCTACCAGAGCTTGCATGGCTCGCAGTAGTTGAGTAGGAGTGCGATCGCCTAACTGTTCTTCTATAAGTAGACGTTGCACTCTCTTACGCTCACTAACGCTAAGCTCGCGAATTAAAAAGTCCCTTAATTGCTGGTATGTGGGGCTTGTCTTCAAGATATCCTGTGCCAGGAGTAATAAATCAGGTGGGAGCTTAGAGATCACATAATGAACTTTTAAGACATCTCTATGTATGCGATTAATTTCAAAAAATGACGGCCTGGAAAAACCAAAGCTGGGGATATTGTATCCAAAATGTTGGTAAACAGCTAGTAGATACGGTGTTAATCTCCCCAGTTTGCTGCTCGATGATATTCGCATACATGAAAGCAATAAAAAGAACGACGAAAATGGACACGACTCACCGGATGATGGAAGCTGAATCCGATAGAACGAACTCACGTCGGGGTCTCCAATTTGTAGGAGCGCTGCTTAGGTGCGGAGTCCAAAATTAGCCATGTCCCGTCGTTCTTACTGGATGTTAGAAATAAAATCTTGTTGGTATCCCAATGATATATTTTGGGAGGCTCCCGAAGATACACTACGACAGTAGGGCAGAAAGATTGCACAGGGAAAACACAGGTGGTGTTTGGCTAGATGGTATAAGCCAGAGTTCAAAGTAAGTTGTCCACGGATTGTATACACATCAATAGCTTTTGAATGATGTGGTTAGAGTCACATGATTGTGGCTAGTATCTTCCCTGTGCGAAGAGAAATAAACTAAAAATAGCAAAATAAGTTAAAGCTCCTACACCAGCTGTCCGGGCAACCGCAGCGTGCAACCGTAGACTAGCTGCGCTGGTGTGGCGTCGAAGTCGGTCTTAACCGTGTTTCTTAAGCCTAGGAGAACGAGGGGAAGCGTTTCAGACCATGAAGGATCTGCGTGCGCACGTAGCGCTGCCTTCAACTGGCGGTGAAAACGCTCCACCATGCTGTTAGCGGCCGGATGATACGCCGTCGTCTGGACGTGGCGACAGCCTAAATCCTTAAGCAACGTGGCAATGGTTGACGAGAAATGTGACCCTCGATCGGTGTTCACGATGGCTGGACAGCCGTATTGAGCTACCCAGCGCTCCATAAAAGCTTTCGCTACCGTTTCCTAGGAGCAATTTGGGATGGGGACGGCCTCAGGCCATCTAGTAAATCGATCCATGCAGGTCAGTAGATATACAGAGCCTTTGAAAGGCGGTAGAGGACCTACGAGGTCGACGTGCACGTGATGAAAACGTGCGTCTGGCGTCGGAAAAGTGACTAATGGGCTTCTCGTGTGCTTGTGCACCTTCGCGCGTTGACACGGAAGGCAAGCAGCTGCCCAGGTACGGATGTCCCGATTAACATTGCGCCATACGAATCGTGCGGTTACGAGTTTAACCGATGCACGAACGCCTGGATGTGACATGCCGTGTAACGCGTCGAACACGGTCTGCCGAAACGCGCGTGGGACGACTGGGCGTGGCTTGCCCAGAGATAAATCGCAGAGTATCGTTCCGTCTGAGGATGTCAGCGGAACGGGTCGTATATCCAGTGAGGGAGATCTGCGTAGTAGATCAACCTCAGGATCGTTGAGTTGTGCTGTGGCTATGGCTGCCAAGTCGATAGCAGTGCCGGCGTCAGCGGAGATAGCTTGAATGCGGGAAAGTGCATCGGCGACGGCGTTGTGCACACCTGAGACATGCCGTATATCGGTCGTAAACTGAGCGATATAGTCAAGGTGGCGCGACTCTCTAGGAGAGTATCGGTCGGTAGTCGAGCCGAGCACGTAAGTTAGGGGTTTGTGGTCGGTGAAGACGACAAAGGAGCGGCCTTCTAGGACGTGTCGAAAGTGACGTATCGCTAGATATACGGCTAGTAGTTCTCTACCGAACGTGCTGTAGCGAGATTCGGTAGGTTGTAAGCGTTTGGAGAAAAACGCTAAGGGCTGCCACGTGTCGGCTACGCGTTGCTGCAAAACAGCGCCGACCGCGACGTCCGAGGCGTCAGTACTAAGGGACAGTGGGGCGGTCGGATCGTGATGCGCTATGGAAGCTATGTTGGCGATAGCCTCTTTCAGCGACTTAAAAGCAGCGCGTGCTGCGGTAGGAAATTCGAACGTCTTTAGTTTCCCTCGGAGAAGGTCCGTGAGGGGTTGCATCAGAGAGGCGCAGTTGGGTATAAATCGACGGTAAAAGTTGACCAGGCCATCAAAACGCCTGAGCTGTTTGAAAGAATGAGGCTCGGGGTAGTCGATAATGGCTTGAATTTTATCCTGCAGTGGCACGACGCCTGCAGAAGAGATACGATGGCCCAGGAAATTAACTGAATCGACACCAAACGAACACTTTTCTGCGTTGATCGTCACCCCGTGTTGAGATAAACGATCAAAAAGTGTTCGTACGTGGCGTATGTGCTCTTCTCGTGAAGAGTTGGCGATTAAAATGTCGTCAAGATAAGCGTAAGCGAAGTCTAAACCGCGACAAACTTGGTCGATGAAACGCTGAAAAGTTTGCGCGGCGTTCTTTAGGCCAAATGGCATGCGCAGAAACTCGAACAAACCAAATGGAGTCGTCACGGCAGTTTTAGCGATGTCCGCCTCGGCTACCGGAATTTGGTTGTATGCGCGTACCAAGTCGATTTTGCTGAAGATATTTTTACCCGCCAGACTGGCGGTGAGATCCACTATGTGTGGGATCGGATAGCGATCAGGCGTGGTTACCGTATTCAAGGATCGATAGTCGCCGCAAGGACGCCAGTCCCCCACAACCTTCTTCGGGACCATGTGCAGAGGCGACGCCCATGGGCTGTTGGACGGTCTGACGATACCAAGTTGAAGCATGTGGTCAAATTCGGCTCGTGCTGCCCGTAGTTTGTCTGGAGCAAGCCGTCTTGGCCTTGCGCTAACTGGTTGACCGCGCGTAACTATGTGGTGAGCGACCTCTGTTGTGACTGGTGGAAGCTCTGCAGCCGGTCGAACCAGTCGCGGGTATTCGGAGAGGAGGCTCAAGTAGTCGGACGGTGCGTCTGCGATCCGAAATACAGGGCTGATTATCGGGGCATCTGAAAGGACACCATCAACACCTAGTTTCGTACGATCGTCTAAAAGTCTGTGGCGACCAGCATCAACAAGCAACCCAAAATGTCGGAGGAAGTCGATACCGATAATTGCGAAGGGTACAGACGCAACCATGAAGACCCACTGAAAATCTCGGCGAAGATTGAGGTCTAGGTTCATCATGCGCTGACCGAATGAAGCTATCGGAGAACCGTTGGCCGCACGCAAATTGTACGTAGGCTTCGAGTGCTTGTCGCTAGCGGTCGCTGGGATGACGCTGACTTCCGCTCCTGTGTCGATGAGGAACGTGATGGAAGAACGTCGATCCTTAACGTAAAACAGTCGGTTTACTTGGTTATTAAATGATACGTTTGTAGTGCTAGTATGCGGGCTATTCGTTTTCCCTGGGTCGTGCCTAATGCAGGGAGCCCGACAACGTCTAGCTCTTCCACCGTATTGGCGGTGATACCAACATACTTCTTCGACGGGTTTGACATTATCTGACTGAGAACTTGGAAGGAAAATGTTGCGCTTTCGTGCCGAACGTGACGTACTCGGTGCAGGCACAGACGAGCCGCAATGAACGGTAGCCAAAACGTGGTCAGCATTTGACCGTGGCACACGCTGCTTTGAAGCCTTCATTGCTGCTATCCTGCTACGAAGTAGCGCAATTTCCTCGTCTTTAGAGTCAGATCGGTCTAGCGACTGGGAACAAACATGGGATTCGGCTTTCATCGGTGAGAATACGTCACCGGAGTTAATGGTCGTCTGCTGCGGAAAACGTTCGAACGCAGCGTCTGCCTTGGTAGCTAAGTCTTTCAAAGGTGCATCTATAAACATGGACAGCATTACCGGCAATGGCTCTGGGAGACGTGCAAACCACAGCTCCTTTATCCCTTCTTCGCTCAAGAATAAGGGACCAGCGATGCGCTGAAGTTCGCGGAGCAATGCCGACGGCTTGCGATCTCCAAGCTTGAGACCATTGAGCTGCTCAAATCGTGTTCGTGCGCTGGGTCGTAACTCTTTCAAAATCGCTTGCTTCATCGTTTCATACTTTGCCTCATTCGATGGGCAGAGTAGAATGTCCTCAATCAGCGTCACTACCGACGGAGGAAGGCGTGGGACGAGCTGATTGTACCTTGGACGGTCCGCCGTTATGCCCTTATTTTCTAGCTCGATCTCGAATATCTTAAACCAAACTTCTGGACTGTGTTCCATGAAACTTGGAACAGCCAAAGTAAGCATGGTTACGCTGTGAAACGACTCAGATGCCGCTCTCGAAATGTGAGTCGAAAGATAAAGAACGAACAAAATACGATAAAGTACTAAAATTACGCAAGAAACAAATGAATATAGGTATATAATCGAGAAAAAGGAACGAACTCACCAAAAAATACAAACGAGAAAAATGTTGAATTCGCGCGTGCGAATCGGGGTCACCAATTTGTAGGACTAGTTAATACTAGTCCGAGACGATGCGCGGAATTAAGCGCGGATATCAGAAGGCAATTGGAGTCGGACACAGCGGACTGTATTCGATGGGCTACAACAATAAGCGGACGGATGAAGCGAGGCAAGAGCGTACACGTGAGCGCGGGAACTTACAAGGCAGTTGTGTGTCGAGCCGGTTGTAAGATTAAAACAAGAAGGAGTAATGTACAATCGGTCAACAAGTAAATTGTACACGAAAGATAAGAGTTATCTTTTTGGGCGCTACAGGTTCCATAGCGTCAGCACAACATACTAGGCCACATTTGATCCACTTTCCTACTGCGCCACGCACTCTTAAACCTCCTGGACCGCACCGGCCTCCGGCTCCAAATGCCTATAGGTCTTAAACAATGGCTTCTCTTCCTTTGAGCATCGATTACAGTTCTCATTTGCATAAGAAACAGCCTCATGATACTGGCCTCCGTCTGGCTCATTACCTGCATGCCTGGTCGCCTGCAAATGCAATTTCAGGTCTCTGATTGAATTTGCTTCTCGGCTCCACCATCATGAATCTCAGTTCACAATTACGTTCCCCTATCTTGTTTGGCCTCTCTTTTGGTCCATATCGCATCGGTTCAATGGTGGTATAGGTGCCTCTAACGTCAACGCAACGTACTAGCACCCGTGTGATTCTCTTTACTACTATGGCACTCCTCGTTAAACCCATTGGACTACTCCGGCCTCTCAGGTTCCAAATGCCTATAGGTCTCAAGCCAAGGCCTCTTTTCCACTGAGGATCGGCTGCAATCGCTTAAGGTTCTCAATGGTATAGGTAACGGCCTCATGATTTTCGTCTCCGTCCGATTCGTTATCTATATGCCTAATCCCAGACGTCGCTATATGTTCTTGCTACTGTGGCTCTCACTCCTAAACCTTTTGGACTAATTGGCCTCTCAGGCTTCAAATTCCCATGGGTCTCAATCCAAGGCTTCTCTTCCTTTCAACATCGATTCAAGTTCTCATTAACATAAAAAACAGCCTCATGTACTCGCCTCCGTCTGATACATTATAATGTGCTTGGACACCTGCAAATTGCAATTTCAGGTCTCTGTTTGGCTTTTGCCTCTCGGTTCCACTATCATTCTTCCCAGCTCACAAGTATCGTCTCTCTCTCTTTTGGTCCATATCGCATCCGTTCAATGACGATATAGGTACCTCTAACGCCAGCGCAACTTACTAGCCCCCGTTTGATTCCCTTTGCTACTGTGACACTCATTATTAAACCTACTGGACTTGTCCGGCCTCTCAGGCTCCTAATATCCATCGGTCTGAAATCAAGGCCTCTCTCATTCAAACATCGGCTGCCGTCGGAAAACGTTCTAATCTCTATAATTAACTGCTTTTTGTACTCGCCTCAGTCTGGCACATTACCTGCATGCTTTGTCCTTCTGCCGAAATTGACATTTCAGGTCCCTGGTTGAATTTTGCCTCTCGGCTCCACTCTCAGGCTTCTCAGATCACAATTATGTCCCCCCTCTTGTTTGGCCTCTTTTCTGGTCCATATCGCATCGGTTCAATGGTTTTTGAGGTTCCCACAGCGTCAGCACAACATACTAGGCCACATTTGATCCACTTTCCTACTGCGCCACGCACCCTTAAACCTCCTGGACCGCACCGGCCTCCGGCTCCAAATGTCTATAGGTCTTAAACAATGGCTTCTCTTCCTTTGAGCATCGATTACAGTTCTCATTGGCATAAGAAACAGCCTCATGATACTGGTTCATTACCTGTATGCTTGGTCGCCTTCAAATGCAATTTCAGGTCTCTGATTGACTTTTGCCTCTCGGCTCCACCATCATGAATCTCAGCTCACAATTACGTTCCCCTCTCTTGTTTGGCCTTTCTTTTTTCCATATCGCTTCGGTTCAATGGCGATATAGTTATCACTAGCGTCAGCGCAATATCCTAAGCTTCTTTTGATTCCCTTTGCTACTGTGGTAATCAGTTTTAACCTCTTCGACTATTTCAGCCTCTCAGTCCCCAAATGCCCATAGGCATCAAACCAAGGCCGCTCTTCTCTTGAGGATCGGCTGCCACCGATTAATTTTCTCACTGGTATAATTAACTGCCTTATATGCTCGCATCCATTTAACACATTATCTGCATGCTTGGTCGTTCTACGGAAACCATCTCAGGTCCCTGGTTGAGGTTTGCTTCTCGGCTCCATTCTCATGCTTCTCAGCGCACAATTACGTCCCCTCTCGTGTTTTGCCTCTCTTCTGGTCTATATCGCAACAGTCCAATGGCGGTATAGTTATCACTAGCGTCAGTGCAACATCCCAGGTCTCTTTTGGTTACCTTTCTTTCTGTGCGTCTCAATCTAAAACATTTTGGCAAAGTCAGTCCTCTGAAGCTCCAAATGCCTATAGGTCTCAAGCCAAGGCCTCTCTTATTTTGAGCACCGGCTGCCATCGACTCAAGTTCTTATTGGTATAAGTTACAACCTTAAGATACTCTTCTTTGTCGGAATCATTATCTCTATGCTTGGTAACGCCTACCGAAATCCGAATTTCCGGTCTCTGATTGAGTTCGGCTCTCGGCTCCACTATCATGTATCTCAGCTCACATTAACGTCTTCCTCTATTTTTTGGCGTCTCCCTTCGTTCATATCGCAACTATTCATTGGCCGATCGTACTGGTCAACTTTTCTGGACTCTGATCACGCATTGGTTCGTGCTAAGATTTGCATGCGTTTCGGAGGATCACCTAAGCGCGCCCACTACCGACCGGACGTCGCAAATCTACAAAGCGCTGCGGTTTTAACCAGGTACCAAGCCTCACTGTCAACTTTGCTTGGCTCAACTATTGACGGTGATCTCGATTCGCAGTGGGCGCATATCAAAGATGCGTTAGTTTCCGCCAGTATCGACCCTTGTGGAGTTACCCGGCACCCACCGAAACATTGGATTTCCGCCGACTCCTTGTCGCTGATGGACAAACTCCGCTTGATCCCATCGGATTTGAGACACGTTGAAGAACGCCAATACCTTGGTCGAGAGTTGCGCAGGAGTCTGCAAATGGACCGCGAAGCTTGGTGGTGTGAACGTGCTAGGGAGATGGAGCTTGCTAGTCTCTGTGGTAATATCAGGAAACTCTTCCATCTCTTTCGAGTCACCGAAGGTGTTCGATCTGGTATAAGTGAAACAATATGCGAAGAGGATGGCACCTTAATCACCAATCTTCAACGACGGTTGGAGCGATGGGCCGAACATTTTGGCTCGCAGTTTTGTTGGCCCCCAGCTCCATCTGCTACCTCTGGCGCTCGCGCTGGGGCCGAGTGGTCTACCCCAACAGACCCTCCCTCTTCCCAGGAAATCGAGCAGGAGCTCCGGCACCTGAAGCGTTATACAGCTCCCGGCCCTGATGGTCTTCACCCAACTCTATTTAAAGATGGTGGCGCATCGCTGGTCCGAGAACTCACCGTTTTTTTCTCGAAAATTTGGTCGAAAGAGAAGGTTCCATCATCTTGGGGTGAGTCGATAGTCGTACCCACCGCCAAAAAGGGCCTGCGCACAACCTGCTCCAACTACAGAGGAATAAGTTTAGTCCCCGTCGTTTGCAAGCTGCTGGTGTCCATCATACTTCGCAGGCTATCCCCAACACGCGAATCGTTGCAGCGAGAAGAACAAACTGGGTTTCGCCCTGGTCGCGGCTGCATCGATCAAATCTTCACACTTCGCCAGATCCTCGAGCTTCGCCATGTGTATCAGAGGCCAACGATTGCTGTGTTCCTGGATATCCGTGCAGCCTTCGATTCTGTCGATCGTACAGTACCGTGGCAGTGCCTTCTGAGGAACGGTGTCCCCGAGAAGTTCGTATCCATACTGCGCGCTCTATACAGTCTGACCTCGGGCAGGGTTAGGGCTTATGGCATGCTTTAGCCTACCTTTGTGGTCTCCAGTGGAGTTCGACAGGGATGCCCTATCTCTCCGTTCCTATTCAACTTTGCCATTGAGGATGTCCTGAAGAACGCTCTGAGCGATACGTTGAACGCTGGCGTTGAGCTCCTCCCAGGTAGTCGAGTTGTTGCTTTGGATTATGCTGATGATATCGTCTTGCTGGGTGACGATCCACAGGTCGTCCAACTTGCATTAAACCGCTTGACGATTGAAGCATCAAAGTATGGTATGTGCTTTTCGCCATCCAAATGCAAGGCTCTCCTTCAAGACTGGCAGGTGCCTCTGCCTGCACTCACGCTTGCTGGTGAGACACTGGAGGTTGTGGAGAGCTTTGTCTACTTGGGAAGTTGCATCACTGCTGGCGGGGCTGTTGGAGACGAGATTTCGATGCGCATCTCGAAAGCAAGCCTTGCTTTTTCTAGGCTGAGGCATTTGTGGCGTCGCCACGACATTCGTCTCTCCATCAAAGGGCGGGTCTATTGTGCAACTATTCTTGCTGTACTGTTGTACGGATGCGAGACCTGGCCCATTCGTAAAGATGACTTGCGCAGGCTATCCGTCTTCGAGCACCGCTGTCTGCGGTCCATTGCCCGTGTGTGGTGGCAGCACCACGTAAGCAATGTGGAAGTTAGGCAGCGTGTCTTGGGACGTGGAAGCCACTCGCTCGAGGAGCTCATCTCACTGCATCAACTGCGGTGGTTGGGACACGTATTGCGCATGCCTGTCCAGCGTTACCCCCGTCGTGCGTGGTTTGCACTTGCTGGACAGGGCTGGAAAAGACGGTCTGGTGGACAGCCTACAACATGGAGAAGCCGCATGAAAAAGTTGACGAAACAATTGGCCTCGGCCGGTTGTTGTCGACTACCTGGTTGGGGTCCGAGAGACGAGGATACTTGCTGGTTGAAAACCTTGGAAGTTATGGCTCAAGATCGATGTCAATGGCGGACGTGTGCATCAGTGTGTTGCGGTGTCCCTTCCTCCTCCCCCTAAAAACGAACAAACTGAAAAAAATTTCAAAAACTGTGAGTGGTAAACTTGACAAAAAAAGCATTTCTTGTTGCTCTTTTCTTATTATTCATATTGTTTTCCTATTCAGCCATGGTTCCGATGGCACAATATCTGTACCACAGATTGTGTATAATATATATATTCATTGGCGGTATAGGTACCACTAGCCTCAGCTCATTGG